TGCTAAGATCATCATGTGAATTAACTCCATGAGTCACAAAGAAAATGAGGTTCAGAAAGCTAAGATTTTTTCCAAGATGACAAAACTAGTAAATGAGTGAGATGGTACCCTAAACCAATCTGATGACTCCAAATTTTTAAATACAAATTATATGGCTATATAATATTAAAAACAAAATACCTTTCCCTGCTCATCACTAAGCCCTCAAAAGGGAACACCACACACGTTTTGTTTGTCTAAATCTTGGGTGCTCTCTTTATCACTAGGCTAACTGGCCTCCCAGAAATTAATTCCCCAACCCAGAAAGTCAACAGCAAGACATGTGCCCTATTGTTAACATTTATACTATGCCATACCAGAATTAACTAGTTCTACGTGTGAATTCCAGACAAGAGTCTGTACTCTTCAAAATGTGTACCCATATCCACAGGACTGACTTATAAATAAAGGCTTTTCAGTAAAGGCTTGTTGTAGTCTTAACTGCAGTCCCAATGATTGCTAGAACTTGTAGGTCCATGGTTCTCTCGCTGAACCCAGCGAGAGGGAACAACCTGAATATCTCTGAATAGCTAAAATCAGCTTTCACCTCTAGCAGCAATATGGAGGCTTCCTGTGTCAGGAGATCTAGGATGTAAGGGAGGAAGGAAAATTCATGGTTGAAGATCTGTTTGATGTCAGCACTTTGCTAGCCCTCTATGTAGGATTAGACCTCATCCATCAAGCTCTATGCAGGGAACACTGATACTAAGTGGAAAATGGACCACAAGTGGAAATTTGATGAAGACTGCTGTCACTTGATAAGCTAGGGGCACAGATCATTGCTTTGCCAAGCTATTTGCTATATCCCATTGGCAACTCTGGGTGTCAGGCCTTAGAGTCACTGACCTGCAGAGGAGGGGAACAGTCGCTGATATAGAGACAAAATATCAAGGTATAAAAATGCAGAAAGTGGGAAAGGGAGAATTTCAGCAAGATCCATACAGAAGGGCTTCCATGGAAAGTGAAATCCATCCAGACTATTTTTGGGTCCAGAACACAAACCTATCAGGTTTCTCCTCTCAATTTAAGCAGCAAATGCTTCCTGTAGATGCAGATTGAGAGATCGCACACCAGAAGACCAGTGTGTTCTTAAACCTATATGCCTGCTATTTAGAAGGAATAGTAAGTCCCACTATCATTATTTAAAGAATTCTGAGACTTTACAAGAACTCATAGACAAGAATTAGCTCACAAGGTCAGACATATTCCTAGAGCAGAAGAGTCAAAAAGAACACCTGCTCCCTGAGTGTTGGCCCAGAATCAATGTCAAGAGGGGAAAAAGTGGGAACGGAAATGATTGGTATTTTGTTCCTTCATCAAATGGATGTTGCTTTCTTTAAAATCTCCGTCAGTTTATCATCTGACAATCTAGTGCTACCTTCCCATATTACAAATAAGAAAACTGATCCTGGAGGAATCAATTACCTCCTCACTACCTTTGGTTCAATCGAACTCAATTGAGGGTGGAACCAAGCCTCCTGTACCCTAATCCCAAGCTCCTCCTTCTACATCACGACACTGATTTCAATAAGGATATCGTAGTTAGAAGGAAGTGGATCACAAGCTGCAAACCGCTGAAGTAGAAATTAATCAATCATTTGGAGAGGGGCTGTGCAAGGTCCCCAAGCTAAGCTTTGCCTCTCCACCCCAGGCCCATATGCTACTTCCCTTTGCCAGGACAGCTCCTGGACTGCTGGGTGTCCTTCTGCTCAGGACATTGAGCAAACTAGGTCAAATGTAGTATTCAGCAACCTTCCTTAAGCTGTGAAGGTCATTTCAGTGCTCAGCATTTTTTCAGATAAATAATGAAAATGGAGATTTCTCAATATGGCATAGCTAGGCTGATTCCCTAGGAACTGCATTTACACTGCACCATGTATTACCAACATATGTTTCTCCTTGTATAGTGGATGCCAAGTTAAGATTCCATTAGGGAATAAATTTTCATAAAGAATAAAGAACATCAAGCAATAACTTGTTGGAAAAATGCCATAAGGCGGGATATGGGCAGAGAAGCCCTGTTCACAACAGCAACATACAAAATGTCAGTTTAAGGAGAGAGGGTCTTTAAAAGGACTGAAGTAATCCTCAAAATGTCAGCAGGTGAGCACCATGAAGACAGAACTCCAGGTTACTGATGGATGGGAAGGAAAGGGCAGGAAAACAAATTCTCCCCCAGAACTTCCACAAAGAACACAGACCTACTGTCATCTTGATTTTAACTAAGAGAAAAAGTAGCAGATTTCTAATCTACAGAATTATAAAGTAACAAAGTTATATTGTTTTAAGTCATTACCTTCATGGCATTATTTTATGGAGGCAAAATGAAACCACTATTTTTAAACCTCTCCAAATTACAAAATAGTAAAATATTATGAGCAGAAAAAATAGGTGCAAAATAGTGGAGAAATGCTTAAAATGTTCTCAATTTGATATACATTAAAGGAGACCATCCTATTACATATTCAAACATATCTAGCATCATTTTAAAAAAAGTAGATGCAAATAAATGCACCAGAAATAGATTCTACCATGTTAAATATATTTACTCTCTTAGAGGAAACAACAGGGGGAAAAAAAACTTAAATAGTTTGGGGGTATCTCATTAGCACATTTAAAATAAAATCAGACTGTATCCCCAGTTTATACAGTAAATCAAGATAAATTTTAGATAACTCTAAAACTAAATACTTTTAAATTTTATAAAATGTGGCAAAGAATAAAATGTACGTAAGTGTGCAGGAAATAAAACATCCTAAGCTTGAATGATGGGACAATTCATATCTAATGATTTAAAAGAGAAAAACAGGGATTAAAGTATTATTAAAAGAAAAAATAAAGGGTTAATATCTATATCATATAAGATATATAATTATAATATGCAAAAAAGATGCCCAGTGGATGAATGCAAAAAGAACATGATCTGATCATCTATGCAGGTAGAATTGAAATTAGTAAACATGCAAAAATGTTCCACCGTGCTGTGATTAAAGAAAAACAAATTAAAATTCATTAAGTGGCATTTTACACCTATTATATTATCAAAAATAATGATAATACTCAAGGTTAACCAGATTCTGAAGATAGTACATTTACACTGTTGACTGCAATTTAAATAGATTCTGTTTGTAAAGTAATTTTAGCTATACATATAAAAAGCCATAAAAATATCAATTTTCTTGGATCCAGTAATTCTATCACTAGGCTGTTATCCTAAGGAAATAACCCAAACAAGAAAGAAATATCTATGTGTGAAGATACTCATTTACAATAGTAAAAAGCTAAGGACAACAAAGAACAGTTAGGTCAACTTTACGTAATGGAATATGAGATATTCATTGAAATGACACGTAGGAAGCTTACCTGGTAACATGCAAAATGTTAATACGAAGTATTGAATTAAAGCTGAAAATAACAGGCTAAATAGTATCAAAATATAATTTTGGAGGGGAAAAAGTGGTCAAATATTGAAAATTCCACATGGTTCAATCTAATACTCTGTCATGGATACAGGGAGGGAAAATAGCTGGGGGCCACACTTATGAGGAAAAACAAAAAGAAAATAGTTCAAGGGATGGGAATATTTAGCCTTTTTCTATTTTTGCTATTTTTCATGCTGCTGTAATATTACAATGAAATGATTTAATTGTAAAACAATTAAAATTGTAAAACAATTTAAAAAATGAAATGAATTTAATTGTAAAACATTACAGACATGATTGCTGTACAGAAAAATAGGTCTGATGAAACATGTTAAAGGGTACAATTTCATTATATCTTCCATTTCAAATTATTTAATTCAGCATACAAGAATCAAGGAATTAAGTTTTTAACTAGAATAAGAATTTGTTTTGAGAAGATATAATCAAAAATGTCAAAGTTAGTAATAAGGCAACAGAGCAGGTCACTAGGTTTTAAAGTCAAATACCAAATATACTCTACAAAGTTAGAATCCAATTTATAAGATGGTGGAAAAAATTACTTCACCTCTTTTAAAGTCAGTTCACTTATCTGTAAAATGGGGTTACCATAAAGATTGATGGGATGATGCATATCAACTTATTTGAGTGTACAGCAAATAATAGGTGTTCAACAATTATAGCAAGTATATCATTAATGATGCAAAATAAATTTTTTAGATGAATAATGAATGGAGATGGAGAACAATATGCACACTCTCCCTATATATACCAAAAGGTTGAAAATTATTCCAACTTATATACTTTTTATCTTGTCTTTTCTAAAAATATTCTTAATCAAAACAGACCAGCACAAACCAAGGTATATACAGAGTTATCTTCAGAATTTAAATGTTATAAGATATAGATTTAGCAGAAATTGCAAATATAACTTAGCAACAAGTTTCCCTTCTCTTTCTTAGCCTCTAAAACAAGAACACCCAGTGGCACCAGGTTACATTTTCTGGAAGTATTTGTCATGAACTCTTCCACTGTAATTTGACATTTGTGGATATACTTTCTCAATCTGGTACAAAAAGATACTGAAGTTACAGTTGAAAGTTACTGCTTCCCTTTTTTGTCAGTGTATCATGTATTTCGAGGACAGTCACATATGGCAGAATTGTCCTCTACCTTCCCCATATCAGCGGCAGCAGGAAGCCAGTCTGGATAATGAAATTCTCTTTTCACAAACTTCACCTAAAAAGAAAGTCTCTCCTCTTCCAAAACACTGAGCAAGAAGATTTAGGCTTGAGCTGGCAGGGCCAACGTGGTTGACTAGACTACTCAACACACTCATTTCCCTAGCTGCTAGGAGTGTCTGCCACTGATGGCTCAGAGCTGTATCTCCCACAGGAATTTCTATCACAGGAGAAAACTTCATCCAAAATATGCTCCTTCCCAGAGATCAGCCCACAATCAACAACTAGCCGATAGAGAGATACAAAGGCACAGACACTTTGCTTCATCTTGGAGACAACCTTTAAAAGATCCAGAACTCACCGTAGCATTAGCTGAGACTTCTTCAGCTCAACCACTTCAGGAGTCAGCTTCTTCCTCTGCATAATCATGACTCTCTCTCTCCCTTACAGATATAACTTCCAAAAACTCTCTCCCATAAATTTTCATGCAGCTCTCCATATTCCAGAGTCTATTTCCAGGGAAGCCAACCTAAGAGACTTAGTACATGAGTAGAGCCTTATCATAATAATCAAGAGGAAACAAGAAATAAATGCAACATTGTCTTCTAAATACCTCGATTGACCTCCTTATGCGCTACCTATATCCTGTTCACTTCTTGGTCTTCCAAGTAACCAGAATCAGTGGATTCCATTGTTTACCTAAGCTATGGAATTGGGTCCTAATAACCTGGAATCAGAAGCCTTGTTTCTTTTAATGGTTCTTTTAATAGTGGGGAATGTTTAATGATTTTTGGATTGTTTCATTGAGTATCCCTTGGCCAGCACAGGGGCAATAAGAGGAAGAGCAGCAGCCTTCACTTTCTTCAACTAATTATTTATGACAACTAATAAGCCCCACCATTTCTCTATTATATTTCCTGGAGTCTACAGTTTATAAAGAAACAAACCTGGAGCTGGGATGTTTAATAATTTTCCCCAAAAAAGTCTCTTGAATATGATTCTCCTGCCTCTGGGTGTCCAAACAATATCAAAAATGCCATAACTTGAACTGGACTTAAATCCCTATTGTCCATATCCCAAGAGAACTTGGCAACATCAACATCAATCTGACCACATCTTGCCCTCAAATACAAAAACTATTATCGGGTGACCCAGAAATTCAAGATGCCCTGATTTTAAAAATATACTCATTTACTTCTTGAAAGCAATAAAAAAAGGTATCCCAGAACTTGTTTGCATCATTTACCCAAAATGGACCTAGAAAATGCAGCACTATAAATGTTTTCCCAAGGAAATTACTTTGCATAATCAGAGGAGGAAAAATAGAAGCATGCAAAGATTACAGATAAAAATAAAGCAAATTAAGACATGATGGTAGAGGTTCCTCAAAAAAATTAAAAATAGAGTTTCCATATGATTTGGCAATTCCACTTCTGGGTATTTATCTGAATACAAACACTAAATTGAAAAGACATCTGCATTTCCATGTCATTTAAACATTATTTGCAGTAGCCAAGACATGTAAGCAACCAAAGTATCCAACTATGAATGAATGAATAAAGAAAAGATATATATATCCTTCCATGGACATACCAAATATACATATATAGAGAAAGAAAGAAATCTACATAGATAGGTATGTATCTATAAATACAGATATTTCACTTATTCATTATATATATACATGCACCCATGCATACATACATACAAAGGAATATTAGTCCACCATATGAAAGGAAATCCTGCCATTTTCAATATGGATGAACCCTGAAGACATCACACTAAGTGAAATAAGTCAGAGAAGAAAAATACCTTATGATCTCACTTATACATGGAATCTAAAAAAAAAAATAAAAAGAAAGCCTATAAAGAACATATAAATACAGAGAACAGATTTGTACATAGGCAAAAATGGGTGAAGGTGGTCTATAGGTATGAACATCTAATTACAAATTAATTAAGTCCTGGGAATATAATGTAAGGCATGGTGACTATTGTTTAAAATTATTGTGTGTTTTGAAGTTGCTAAGAGAGTAAATCTTAATAGTTTCTATACAAAAAATAAAATTGTTGGCCTCCCCGGTGGCGCAGCGGTTGAGCGCTGGGTTGCGAAGCTGCCCGCAGCCTCTGCGGTGCCGGTTCGATCCCCGGCTGCTCCCCGGCCACCAGAGGAGGGTCCCACATGGCGCGCAGACCTCTCCTGCCGCCCGCTGCTCCCCTCAGCAGTGTACTTCGTTCCTTCTGCCTGCTCTGCTCCCCGCTCTGGTGAATTCTCTCACCCTCCTGCGCTTCTGACTGTACCCAGTGCATGTATAAACAAAACAAACAAGTAAATAAATAAATAAATAAATAAAACATGCCTCTATTAAAAAAAAAATAAAATAAAATTGTAACTATGTGGTGATGGATGTTAATTAAATTTATTGTAGTGATCATTTTACAATATATACAAATATTGAGTCAGGATATACAACTGAAACTAGTATATCAATTATATCTCAATCTTTAAAAAATAAAACAAAAACACTGTTGTCTTCTATTCTACATTGCCTGACATTTTCAAATCCATAAAAGCAATTCTGAGGAAGAGTTACAAAACATAAGGTCCAGCCAGAGTCTAAAGCCCAATCCTTCTTATACCTATAGTTCAAGCTATTCCCTCCTGAAATACCAGCTCAGAATAAAGCACATTTTTGCCCAGAAGTACTTTTGTATAAATAAATCTGGCTCAAACAAACACCCAAAAATTGAGCCATATCCTTGCTGAGTTAGCAGTTGGTTTCTATTTGATACCTTACAGGTGAGGCTGTTTGCAGTAGTGAGAGATGCTACCCCTGGAAATGTGATAAAAGAGCTGGAATTGAGCCTAGACCAGTGTGGACATCAAACTCTCTGGGGCACTGAAAGCTTAGAGACTGACTGTCCATGGTTTTAGTTATTCATATCACTCCCAGCTGCAGTGGTCCTGATAAGCAAATTACCAAACTTGATTGTGTTCTTTCTTCAATAACCTATAAATTTCCCTCTGGCCCCACATCCCGTCTCTGAGAATCCACTCCAACCAATAGCTTGAGGTCAAATGACTTTTCCCCCAGCAACAAAGGATATAACTAAGAGCAGTGGTGAAAACCATTCAAAGCAAGTCACCCAATTGGGTGGCCAAGAGCCAGTAAGTTTCCTAGATAATTTGAAGAGAGATATATGGACTGTTCAAAGTCAGATGCTGGCACTGAAGAATGGGACAACAGAAGAACATGACCCAGCTTAGGTGCAAGCAAAATTTATGAAGATTCAGAGATGAGAGCCTGCTGAGAAAGCTAGTATGCAAGAAGGGACTGAATACTAAAAGATCCACAGAATAGAAGGCAGCTCCAGGGAAAGAAAAGTAGACAGCAGGTTTCTGACAACTTTCTACTACTCTGTAAATCCTACCTGTACTGTCTATAATTAGACTTTATGAGATTTCCCAGGAGCCTTACTGTGAATCCTACTGACATAAAATAGCCTAAGCGGATAGGTCTCTCTTCCAAAAAAAAGTTTTGGACATATTCACTCATGTGGAGATGACCAATACCAGTATATATTTAGTACTCAACATATACTTGCTCAGTTATTATGCATCGAGCACTCTGCTAGCTCCTGGGATTCAATGTAAGAACAGTCACCGCTCCTTACTCTCATGGAGCATATAGTCAAATGTGAAAACCATTATTAATCAAATAATCACATAAATATAGAATTGCTAACTGTCAAAGACCTGCCTAGACATGAACAGGGTACCACATATCTTAACTCCCAGAAGCAGCTCTGTGAGAGCAACCTCTGTGCTGGGTGTGAAAAGATAAGGAATCATTAAATAAGTTGAGGAATGAGAATTCTATGGAAGTGGGACCGGAATGTACAGAAACTTTAAGGTGGGGGAAGCTAGAGTAGAAAGGATGATGAGAACAGAGGTAGGTGAGGCTGCAGAGGTAAGCCAGACGGTCATCAGGAGCATGACCATGTGAACAACTTTGTAAAAAGTACTTTCAAATATTGAAGGACTTATAGCAGAGAATGAGATGATAAAACATCACTTCAGTTTAGTGTAAAAATGAACTGAGGGAGATAAAAATAAGCCAAAGAAAAACAATTAGGAGAGTTGTCCATAATGAGGGAAGAGACATATGACCTGGTGGATAAAAAGTAGGTGGACCAAGAGCTACTTGAAAGATAAAGGTAATGGCTGGGATGGGAAATGGTTTAGGAGACAGAAGTAATCAAGGAAGACATGCAGAGTGTCTGACTTAAGTTATATCTGGGGTCACTAACAGGGATAGGGAACATTGGACATGTTGTGTTTGAGGACCTTTGAAGTCATCCAAGGAAAGAAGTTTGTTAATAAATGGACTGTGCAGACCTGGGATCAAAAAAGATGTGTAGGTTAGATTTGAAAATGTGAGCGTTGTGTCCATATAGCTGGTCACTGACGTCTGTATGTAGGTGAAATCAATGGGTGTGTAGAGTGAGAAGAAAGGTATGGAGTGAAACCATTGAGTCCTTTTTCACTGGAGGTTGAGCAAAGGAAAAACAGAAGTCAAGATTAGAGTGTTCCTTACCTTGAATAATGGAGTGGTTCACTGTGTCTATTTTTGCTGCGAAAACTCATAAGGTAAACACAGGAAACATCACTAGATTTAGTGATATGGAGGTGATTGGGGATCTTAGCAAGCACTATGATGGCAGAAAGATGGGGGGCAGAGAACAGATTGAAGTGGGCTGAAAGTGACAGTGGAAAGTAAAATAAATAGACAAAATGCTGTAAAAAAAAAAAAAAGTTCTATGTGGATAGAGAAATAATAAGGCTATCCTAGCAGAGGAAACTGGGCTCAAAGAAAATGCAAGGAGCTTTTGTTTTAATGTGAAAAATTTGAACCTTTAAAATAGTAATGAGAAGGATTCACTGGAAAGGGAAAATTTAAGATTCAGGAAATGGAAGGAATAATGGATAGTATAGGATTCCGGCAACAGATGAGTGAGATTGTAAGTCCAGAAAGCTGCTTAAATGAATCATGATCTGGAGCGATGAGTTTGGCTGAAGAGGTGAATTTAGAATTGATGAGAAAAGCCTTGGCGGAGAATAATGGACATCACCCATGGGAGCATGAAAAGTGGGGAGAGAACAGAGACTGGGAGATGTCCACACTTCAGGAGTGGTCAGAAGAGAGAGAGACATGGTGGAGATTGGGAAGCAATGTCCAGGAGGGTGGTGAGAGAGCCTAGGCTCACGCAAGCCGCCTCACTGCATATCTGTTTCACCAACACAGACTCATGGCTGATTTCCCAGTCATTTACTCCCAGGCCCAGTGTCTTCCCATATACCACCTGGACAGCATGGGGCGGGGCTGGGGGGGGTGGTTTGGGGGGGGAGCAGGAGAGTCAGGAGCAGCACACACAGAAGGGAAGTTTGATGGGTGAATGTAACAACCC